TGAAGTGCACTGGCTTCCAGCCTCATCCTCGGGGACTATAGAATAGTGAGTAACCGCTAAGAATTCATGAGATTACTCGACTATTCAATTAACCGATATTTAACATCCCTAATCCATTCCTGAGTTGTCTCCCTTCTCCCTCTTCCTTACATCAGCTCATCTCCCAACGACAACACTCCCCACCTACATGTCTTCCACACCACGCTGCGCATCCCATTCAGCATCAACTCAGAGAAGAGCAACTTTTAGTAAGACGAGCCACCTAACTGACTTGCTGCTGCACCACCCCTTTGTACTTGGGCTTTGATTTGGAGGGCACCCATCCAAGCAGTGAGTACATCCTCCTACTCTGCTTAGCTTGTGTGCTCTGAAAAAAAACCCATAACCAGAATGAGTACGACAGCAACACATTCAAGAACTATGACTTTAGATTTTGAAATTCAAGATCCTGTGACTTAATCTGGGATCAACATTTAATTTCATTCACCCCTAGGAGGGCGTCTTCACAAGCATGGAATCTTCTATCCCAAAGATTTCGACTCCTCTGCATAGATCACTTTCCTCACTGATGCAATGCAGCCACTTCTCAAGAGGAACACCACAGTCATTTTACAATGCACCGCCACGTTCGATAGCAAGTTAGAGGAAAAAGTGACAAAGATGTGTATCCAAATTGGAGTTGCAAAGGGGATGGATTTAAGAGAGGCAGAATGTTATCTGTAATAAATTATTCTGTCAATCATTTTTCATCCAGTTCTTCAGTCAATAAATTGCAAAAACGCGAACATGCCATTCTGTTAGTTGACAGCGTTCATTAGAGTGCAACAGGAGAGTATTCACAAAATGGCTCACCGTCTGAATGCTTTGAAACATTGAAGACGCTGAAACACGTCTTTAAAAGAGTCAAGAGTTTCTTAAACTGCTCCAGAGCATGTTAACCAAGTAGCTACGGCCTCTCGCTCCACGGCAGTTCTGTGCCTCTTTCTCTGTTATTAAATCCATTAAGGAGGGGATTTTTCAAAAGCACCTGTGATTTAGGGGCACAAGTCCCATTGAAATTCATTAGGACTTGTGTACTTTGCATCAATTAGGTGTTTTTATCCATCCTAAGTACATTCAGGTATGTGCACACAGACCTCCCTGGTCTGGCAACCGTGGGATGGGAATGGTCCCGAACCACGGAGTTTGCCGGACCAGGGGAAGTCAAGGCTCCCTACCCGGCTGCAGGCTCTGCTCCCGGCTAGGGCTGAGCAACCTGCACCATGTCCTGCTGCCTCCAGCCCCCCGGCCCCACTGCCTCCAGTAGAGCCTGCCTGGGCTGCATGCCCAGCTCCTGGACCCACTGACTCTAGCTCCAGCTGGGCTGGGCTCCTTGCTGCCAGCCCTGGCCAGGGCTCTGCTCTCCACCTCCAGCCCAGCCCAGGCTGTGCTTCTCATAGAATCCTAGAACACTAGGACTGGAAGGGACCTCGAGAGGTCATCGAGTCCAGTCTCCTGCCCCCATGGCAGGACCCAGCACTGTCTAGACCATCCCTGATAGACATTTATCTAACCTATTCTTAAATATCTCCACAGATGGGGATTCCACCACCTCCCTGGGCAATTTATTCCAGTGTTTAACCACCTTGACAACTTTTTCCTAATTTCCAACCTAAACCTCCATTGCTTCTCGTTCTATCCTCAGAGGCCAAGATGAACAAGTTTTCTCCCTCCTCCTTGTGACACCTTTTAGATACCTGAAAATGGCTATCATGTCACCCCTCAATCTTCTCTTTTCTAAACTAAACAAACCCAATTCTTTCAGCCTTCCTTCCTAGGTCATGTTCTCTAGACCTTTAATCATTCTTGTTGCTCTTCTCTGGACCCTCTTCACTTTCTCCACATCTGTCTTGAAATGTGGTGCCCAGAACTGGACACAATACTCCAACTGAGGCCTAACCAGCGCAGAGTAGAGTGGAAGAATGACTTCTCGTGTCTTGCTCACAACACACTCGTTCTGATCCTGGCCAGCTGGGGCCTTCTGATCCAGCAACATCCATGGTCTAGCAGGAACACGGATGGTGCCAGACAAGATTCCCGGCTTTGAGAGGTTCAAGTCTTTAGGGAATTTGACTCCTATGGTTCTGGAGATAGGTCCTCTGGTTCTCTGGCCTGAAAAGGGGGAAACGTGACTGCTACCACCATGCAGAAGGTGAATCACTTCTCTCTGGCAAGCCATTTAAAAACAAAGCCACCCAACATACATTCCCCTTGGAAGCTGTGGGAAGGGGTAACACTGCTGTGGATTTAGGACTCTAAAAGAAAGCACCGGAGAAACATTTCTCCAAGGAAACAATCCCTTCCACAAAGCAAGGTTTCTCTTTTCAAACTTGCAGAAGGCATTGAAAGATGGCACCAATTTGAGACTACACGTTTCTTTTGGGTCCTAACCAACATATTGGGGAAAACTCATCTGCCAGAATAGTGATGACTAACCAGTCCTCTGCCCCAAGGATCCGGGTTCATTTTAGCCTCTTGAAGAATATGGGAAATGAAAGTCTGGAGCCTTCAGCAGAGCTTTAAAAAAAAGCGAAGTTGACAGCACACGTACAGAAATCATTCAGAGCTGACAAAACTTTAAAAACGATTCTCTTGTTTCAGGAGCAGCCATCGTGGCGTGGCACATCCCAAAAAATCAGAGAGGTTCTTCAGAATACTCAAGCCGGCTTGTGTGGCAGACCCAAATCCAAGGCGCCAAGACAACACTTTCTCCTAAAGGTCCCCCAGGAAATAAAGGAGTGACGTGTAACCAGCAATATATTTTTCCATTTTGCATAAGATTGGAGGCCAGAACCAAAAAGGGGACTCACTCAAACATAGTTCATACATACCTTTCAGAGAACATATTCATAGCCAAACAGGGAAAACATTTGAGGCCATTGTGAGTGACAAGTTAATAAAAAAGGATTTTTAATTATGAAAATTGAAGGCATCTTTACACCAACTCTCCAAAATAATACAAGAAACGTACGTCAGTGATCACAGAAGGGACTTAAATACAAATTCACGCAACAGCGGCACGTTCTGCTGACTCAGCATGTCATCTAGTTGGCCTAAATGTTACAAGGGCCTGTGGTTTTTACAAACCCTGCTCCCTTGACCAAAGAACAGCATTGGCTTGGATTACGATGGCTGCCTCATGACCGCTTAGGAGTCAGAATAAGGAGAAAGAGAAACAGGTCAAAAGATGGGGGAAAAGAGAATTAAAGATGGGAGATTTAGTTCTAGGCGGCCACAGATCTTGGGAGGAATCCACAACAATTTTTTAAACTGGAATTTCACAATAAGCAAGCTAAGACTGGACTTTACTGCAACCGGCCACCATGGCCGTGAAGGTAAAGAGTGCAAAGTGAGATTAAAGAATAGTTTTGTAACATTAATTTTTTTTATTAAGAAGACATATTTTATAGTACTTCTCTGTTTGTAAAAATGATATACATGAACCAATACAAAATGTGAATGGGAACATATGGATATGTATTTTCTTACACTGTAACATCTTCCATGGACATCTTAAACAGAACTGGCCTACAGGGGAAAATAAAAAGGGCAGGTGATTAAAGAACAAGCTTATTTGCCATCAGTTACACATCCTTCATTTTTTTTTAAAAAGTGTGTTTCTTTCTACACTCTTAAAAACCCTTATGATCTAAACCTGTACAAAGTAATACTCAACAATACATTTCAACAGCGCACTGTATACCGAAGAAAAAAATACATAAACCAATATACAACTAAAATCCATAATTTCCTGGGTTTTTTGTTGTTGTTGTTTAGTTCTCTTCCAATGTGTGGGGCTGAAAAATTTTGCAATCTACCTGAGACGGAAAACACCAAACAAAACACATGAACCTGAGACATGTCAACATTGTAAGTCAAAGTTACATCGGTAACACTGCACTACTGTACACTTTCAAAACAAAGATGGGCTGGTCAAAACCAAACCAAAACAAACAAAAAAAAAACAGAATGCCAATTCTGTGATCAGTGTGTACAAAGCCCCTCCCCCCAAGAAACCTTCCACTAACACGATAAATGCTTCTTGCCCTTGGTTGTGGTTTGGCTAGGAGCTCCGCAGGTGCTGATACCTCAGAAGCACTTGACAAAGTTGATTTCCCTTTTGTCTCTCTCTGTTTCTGAGGGGAGTGGAAAAGAAAATACTGCTCAAGAATGGATTTGGTTTTTTTCCCTCTTTCACATGCCGACCCATTCCCAAAAGGCTCTCGTGTTGCAGTGCTTCTGCCAAAATGTTAAAAAAAAACCCTTAAAAAATGCTTCCTAAAAGCTTATGAAGTTGTAACAGATGCAAATTTTCCCCTTAAATAAATCAGTTTAAATTTTCTATATAATGTAACAATAATAAAAACGCATCTTTCAAATTCCAAGATTACTCAGTGAACAGCTCAGTATATACACAGAGATTTTAATGGTACCTTATCGTGGACTGCTATCTGAAGAGCCATCATAATTCTAATTCACATTGTTTTGAATTTCACCTAAAATGTTTATAATCTGTTTGCCTGGCAATTTTTAATGCAAATCCCCATAGTTACTTTATCAGAAAAGAAATGGCAACTTCACTCATCCAGTTTTTCCCAAGGCTTCAAACCGAAAACATTTTCAAGGTAACTTATTTTTAGTAGCTGTGCACCATGACTGCATTCATCCAAGGATCAGTAATTTGTTGGCAGATGGTTCTTAAGGCTGAGGAATGAGGCCAAAGCTAGTGTATGAAAGGTAAAGAGATAAAAAAATACAACATTTGAGTTTTGATTAAGTGACTGAAAAAGCCTACATGCTGTTATTTCCACCTGCTCTGACCTTTGCAGAACTGAGAAACAGGACACGCCGGCATGAAAACAATAGCGATCCTTCTGCTGTTCCTCCTGCTTTGTCAAACCAAATCTTAAGGAATGGAAGTTTCACACAGTCTCTGGCTGGATCGCTCAGCATGACAAATATCTGTAATATACAGTACATGCAGGCCAGATCCCACGGCCTTCCCTAACTAGCACAAAGAGAAGGAGGAAAAATAATACAAAATCTGCTCATTCCGAGCACTTTGCACACCATGAGGACTTTTCTTTTTCCAGAAAATTAGGCAGAAGTAAGGCCTATTGGGAAAGCTTGATGGAATTGTTTGGAACAGAAATAATCAGAGCAGAACTACCTTTCCCCCTCCACCCCTTTCTCTCCTGTGGCAACTCAAATTTGTCCACTTGCATAAAAGGAACAGCCTTCATCTGTCAGTTCTGCTTAGGACAAAAACAAGAAGGATTCCTTCATGCCCCAAACTTGTCCAGACAGCATGAGGATACCCTCTCTACTGAGCAGTCTACAAACACAGAATTGAAGACAGATTCAATCTCACAGTGACACACCTCACTTGCAGATAACCCTGTGCAGTAATGTCGCTCCGTAGCCAACGGAGTGCATTTTCTGAGTCACAGCCTATTTTCTACTCTCCACCACTAGAAAGCATTTGAAACACAGGCAGCTGCAAACAGTTTTTCATAGCTTCTTCACCCAAGCCTTTAAGACAACAGAGAAGAATGTATTATGGATACACTGAATTGCAAACTACAAAATCTAAAGTGTGCTGGTTCTCCTCTGATAAGATTGAACTTTGAACAGAAAAAAAAATAGTGGAGTTAAAATAAAGAAACACATTAAAAAGAAACCTATTCCAAGGGGTTCCAGCAGGCAATTCCAAAAGAGAACAGAAAAAAAATGAAAAGAAAAAAAAGAAACACACGCATAATCCCTCCCCCCCCCCAATAAAATTAAAATAAAACAAGGCACAGAATTTTCTGCAAATGATTCAACTAAACTAATTCCAAGTTGGACTTGGCCAAAAAATAAAACCCAAACTGAGGTGTCAAACAGCAGAGTGTACTTTACAAATAATGTTTTTTACACATCCAATCCAGGACCCTTCCAGTCTGACATCTCTTCACCCATTTGTTAACCAAAAAAAAACAAAAAACAAAAAAAAAAAAGACACAAGCTGGTTGCAACTTCCAATATCACTGTCTCTGTCATCTAAATTGGGCCAGTAACCGTCCACGGTTGGACACCTCATTGAAACCAAGGCTGATCTAGATGAAGTACTCTTTCTTTTCTTCAGAGTTGTTCTGTCCTCCTTCTGCATTGATTATAGCTGTGTCTGCGTCGGCTGCATCATCTGCTCCTTTGGCTTCGTGAGTGAAGTATGTACCTGAAAATGAAGCAGTGAGGTTCTGTGACTCATTGACGGTGTCCTGGTAAATGGTGATACCAACTGCCACTTGCTCTTCTACACAGAAGCCATGAGAAAGGGAGAAAAAACACCCCCACCATTGGTCCTTATAAGCTGTGCGCTGGTGCGGCCACTCAGGACAGATTCAAATGCCACCCAGCGGATGAGCAGAGCGCCCACAGCCAAGCTTTATGTTTCTATTGGTGGTTCACATGGACACGTGCGTTGGTGCCCCTAAAAATTATTCCACACCCAGGTAAAAAAATCCACACATGGATGGAAAAGAGAGGGAACACTGACCAGCATCAGAAGCAACAGAGAGACGTCTGAATCTAGGGATTCCATTGCGATTACTCAACCATAAACGGCAATAATCAGCAAGACAACACAATGACTTCAGACATGAAACTTGAGATTAGTCAATGCTGCGTCACGGATTTAGATGCACGTTAAGTTCAATGGGAATCATGCATCTAAATTCTGCAAGGGGGCTTTGAAAATGACAGTCCGGGGCATTATAAAGATGACACCAAGTAAAGAACAAACATGACTGGTTCGATAGGCCATTTTAAAACAACCCAGAGTGAGTGTCTCTCTAGGACTGGGTATATGGAGAAGTACCAATAATCATGCTTTCCCCTCATCCCTTTTAAAAGAGCAGTTTTGTCATTGCAATCAGTGCATTGGGGGAAGAGGGCGGGTACACTTCAGCGGTGACACTGGTGGTGCTCAGCAATGTACACAGGAGGTCCACGGGGCACCTTCAACAAGCGAACATAATCAGCATCTCTTACTGACCAAAGGGCCTTAATGCTATTCTGAGTGCACCATGATGCCTCCCCTTCCGAATGAATAACACAATGATTTTATGTCACGCCGTATAAGAGTGTGGAGTATTATATCGCCTCCCCCATGAGGCAGAGAACGTAAAGTAAATTAGTAAATTCTTGAGCACGTCGTGACCCTCAATTAAAGATGACACATCTGTCATCGCTCCTCCTTTCTCGCCCCCAATGCGCTTCCCCACTTCTTCTCTGCCCCTATTGTCCGCTCACCTTGCTTTTAGTTTCCCCCTATCCTGTATCCCTGCCTCTTTGACCCTCTTTCCACTATCCAAGTCCCTCTGATTTTTTCTCTTCTCTTTCCTGCTGTGCAACAACACACAGTGCCTCGTATTATCCGCTGCTCAGAGGGAATGGACCGCAAAGCCAAGTCCACCCCCACTTACCTTTATGTCTCGCAAAGTATCGCCCTAAAATGATGAGCAGGCAAAGCATCGCGAAGACCACCACAGCCACGACTCCGCCGATCACCGCATGGTCCACGGCCCGGATGGACCCTTCATCTCCTGCTCGAGAATCTGTTGGGAGCAGAAGAGGCATAGCAATTTGGGGCTTATTACAGGGGGATTTGAAGGCTTGGCCGCAGTTGTAAAGGGAGAGGCATAATGCACTGAGCTATCCAGGTCAGTGGTTCCCCCCCTATTTACGCTTGCAGGCCACATGTGGATCTGTGTGCCGCTACATGGGCAGCATCCTCACCAGTATCGCCTCCCCGTATGGCCCTGAGGCTGTCCCGTGGGCAGCAGCTGATTGGGCCACAGGCTGAGAACCGCTGATCCAGATGGATCGGTTCACACAAGAGAGCCGACGGGCCCGTCCCATACGGGACAGATCTGGCTGATCGACTCACAAGGCAGCTGCAGCGTCAACGCTTGTGCATGTGCAACAAGATCGGGAAGGGGAGACGTGGAATCATCTTTTCTGAGGGTCTGCCCACACATAAATCCCCAATGTGAATGTTCCCTCCCTCTCCCCCAGATAAAGGTGGCTGATCAGGCCTGCCAATGGGAGGGAAGAGGAGGAGACAACCCCACAGGGGCCCGGCATTTCGGAGGGACCTGGAGCTCTCAGCTGCCACCACTGCTACTTCGGCCGTGGCAATGGTGGTCTAACCAGGCTCCTTTGAACTACCAGCACCAAGGTCCTGGGGGCGCTAAGGGCTCATTGCCCTTGGCCCTGCCTTGTCTGGGACTGCGGAGCCGGGCCACCCTACCATCTTGCCCCAGGCCCATGGTGGCTGTCAGCATGGCTGGGGATGATCTAACAATCGGAGGCCAAGTGCTAGTGTGGTGACATCTGGTATCAGTTGTATGGAAATATCAACAGAGCATTTATTTGTAAGAATGTAAACCTCCCCCCCACCAATTTCATCTGCATGGCCAAAAAGGGATCAGGTTCTCGGGATGACGATTGAGGATTGCGTGGTTCAATACACTTTTTTTTTGCTCAATACATTCCAGGATGCATCAAAACCAGCAGAACTTTCAATGCAAACCATAAAGCCCTCTTCAAACACAGATCGCAAGCAATAATTGTACATTGCCTCCAAGCGCTTTATTTTATTTATTTAACACCTCGCCATGCAATTAATTTTCTTTTATAAGCATCACTCCCTTAGGACACTAGCATCCTAGAGAGGAATGACTTATTTGGCTGGGGAACAACTCTGAAATGAACCCAGAATGAGCTATGGCCATGTAAAATGAATGTATAGCAGTGTAAACAATTTTAATTTAAGAATGCAGCTACATCAACCCTTGCTGTAATTCTAATGGCAACGGAGATTTATAATGTAGTAAAAAACAATTATTCTCCCGTTGATTAATACATTAACATTTGGAATGGAAGCTAAACCATTGTCTTTTTTTTTTATTGAGTCAAGCGCGACACCTCTATTAAAATGATTTACTAGCCGTACCTTACAATTTAAGCACAGCAGCAACAGAAACGGTAAAAATCTTTTAACTTTACATGATTTGTGAAGTCATATGTGAAGGATTTACCATTTAAATCTTTCACTACAAGAAGCACATGGCCTATAAATCTGTCCCACATGCAGTTGCCCGGACACCTAAGAGAAATGCATTTCACCAGGAAGACCGAGAGTGCAAATTCAAGTCAATTTTTACGAAAGATTTATCTCCGTCTCTCTCCAAATAACGGAGCAAATCTCTGAAGCCTCCACCTCTAATAATATTTGAAGTTTATCGATCAAGTGTACAGATCCGTGACAGCTAAAGGTAATGGTGCTCTTTTGAGCCGAAACCTGATACAATGTTTTCAGCAGCAGCTCAGGATTTACACTTTCTATCAATATTTCCAATTTTGTTTTAAGATTAAGTACTGCAGGATGTAAGTAAATAACTCATGACTAGGAGCTCCATAAAATGCATTTTAATTAAAACATTTAAATTAAAAAGGGGGGAAAGAAACTTTAAAAAGTAATGGAACAAAACCAGTAGCATTGGCATAGACAATGGAAAGTCTAGGTTTAATTAGGTCAATGTAGCTGTACACTAAAGGACAAAACGAAGTGCAGCCAATTAGGCAGAACCATGTTAAATAAAATCCCCTCCAGCAATATATCTAATAAGTTCAACTAAGTGTGGCAAAAATATACTCCTGTTGGCCAAAAGCTTTCACTGCTGGGGTAGCTCTGGCATGATATACTTACAAATCATTTAACTCTGATTAGAATGCACTAGAGAAGTTTAAAGCTGAAATATGGGTAAACACTTGCGGCCTAAAAATGGCAGGTATGTCCCATATAGGTTATTCCTTACAACTTCATGATTAGAAAAATGAAATGCAAAATGATTGTTAACATAATGCAAAATGTACCCACAGGACAAAACCTAACGGGAAAGCAACCAGTGAAATATTTTCCACGAGATAACTAAAGTTGGTTGAGCCACTTAGTGGCCATTGAAGGTAGATTTCACTGTGTGTATTTCAGCGTGACTAATTCTTTTGATTTGTTCTATGTGTGCTCTTCCCAGCAGAAGCACAACAGATCCGACTGATGTCTTCCAAGTCCCACTCTGACCAAACAGTAAATAATACCCCTCACTAATTCGCCCATCAGTTTATTGCTGTTTTATCAGGTAACTCTACAGATTGGTAACATCTGAAGTTATGATGCCCTAGTGCTGCACACACCCCCTGCAGGAGAGATGGACCTCCCCCAAATTCAGAATAATAATTCATTCCTGACAGTGGGAACGGTTAGGGTGAATTATGCACATCACAGCATATCTGTATAACCTACGACACAGCCTAAGGATTGGAGCCAGAATGTATTTTGCTCAGACCAGTACAGATGGAGAAAGAGACACAAATGCAAGGCCAGAGCTTCAGAGGGTATACGTCAGCACAGTAAAAATTACAGTGGAGCTACGTTGGTTTTCATGAGCCCATAAAATATGAATGGAAGTGGTGTGCCAAAACCACTGGCTTGATGGCTCCATGATCGGTTCAATCCGTAATGAAGTCAAGAGCAGTCAGTCTTTACTCCTGTCCCGCCTTCTCCGGGAAGTGACTTTCAAATACAGCTTGACACACATTCTTGGCCAGCGCAGTTTATTAAATACGATTTCTTCCACTGAGACGGGCATTATTTTCCTTCATTATTTGTATGGAAAACCATGGGTTTTTTCGCAAGGACATGCTCCAAGTTTATTTTATAAAGTGCATGGCTAAATACACTAAGTTTATCTTCTAATTAAAAATTAAATACAGCCCACTGAGGATGTCTGGTGCTTGCAAACCAGCGAGAGAGAAATCGGAGAGTACATCAACAGTGCGCTTTTGCTTTAGAAGAAAATGGCTTCATATTTCTAGTAGATAGTTCAATTAAAGGAACTTTTCTCCTAGTCTGGCTGCTAACACACGGGATGTTTATTCCCCAGACGTGTTGTACATATCTGTCAATTAAAACAGTCTTACCCAACCAGATGTATTTATGCACCTGCCCTCACGTCTCCTAATCTGACAATCTTCAGCTGAGGAAAAGTAAGTCACCTCCGCATGGACTCTGCGCATGCCTCTCACTCCGGACTGAACTGCAGAATCTTCCTCTTCCATCTGTACCAAGTCTTCTCCAAAGCTCTGCGCATAGGGTATGTCTAGACTACATGGCTCTGTCGCCAGAGCCATGTAGATTAGTTTACTAGACATACCCAAATAAAGCAGCAATTTAAATAATCGCTGCTTCATTTAAATTAAAATGGCTGCCGCGCTGAGCCGATCAGCTGTTTGTCAGCTCAGCGCGCTAGTCTGGACGCTCCGCGGTCAACATCAAAGGCATTTGTCGACCATCCCGGTATGCCTCGTGGGATGAGATTTACCTGAGCGGTCGACAAATGCCTTCGATGTTGACCGCGGAGTGTCCAGACTACAGCGCTGTGCCGCCAAACAGCTGATCGGCACACTGCGGCAGCCATTTTAATTTAAATGAAGCAGCGATTATTTAAATTGCTGCTTTATTTGGGTATGTCTAGTAAACTAATCTACATGGCTCTGGCGACAGAGCCATGTAGTCTAGACATACCCATACATGCTAATCCTGTCTGGCAGAACTTTTATTCACGCCCTGGGCCTTTAGTGGTGGCTACCAGTTATATCAAGTTGTGCAGTTTCACATAGCGCACAGGTGGGGACTCAGCTGACTCCCTGATAATGTTGCATATGTGACCCAAGATGAAGTTTTAAACTTTGCCTCCAAAGAGGAAAGGCTTTGGGCCATCACGCTCCATCCTTTCAAATGTGTAGAATGTTTTAGCAGCCTGAAACCAGCTTCCTAGAGCAAAATAAAACCACCACAGCATCTGCTTTTTGCCTTCTGTCGCGGGGCAGTTTGGCTACTTTCTGTCTCGACTGGGCGAGAGAAACCAGGAGATATTCAATGTTAATTGTTTGTTTTAAATGGAAAAACAGATGCAGCCCAGCTGCCAGTGAGCATGCATGAATTCTTACACCTTGAAGATTATGCCTGCCAGGCAAGATCGCTGATGTACAGAGGCATCATCAAGTAAAGGCTTCATTCAAAAACCATCCTTAGCCCCCCACACAAGTGGGTCAATGTCTTACCGAGAGGAGGGGAAATGACTAGTCATGGACAAAATTTAGACTTTCTTGCCTACACACAGAAGGATCAATCCTAAACATAAGAACAGTCAGACTGGGTCAGACCAAAGATCCATCCAGCCCAGTATCCTGTCTGCCCACAGTGGCCTGGCCAATACCAGATGCTCCAGAGGGAGGGAACACAACAGGGAATCCTCATGTGATCCCTCTACTGTCATCTACCTCCAGACAAACAGAGGCTAGGGACACCATTCCTACCCATCCTGGCTAATAGCCATTGATGGACCTAACCTCCATGAATCTATCTAGCTCTTTCTGAACCCTGTTAAAGTCCTAGCCTTCACCACATTCTCTTCGAAGGTGTTCTAGAGGTCGACTGTGCGCAGAATAAAGAAAAACTTCCTTTTGTTTGCTTTAAACCTGCTGCCTATTA